AGAATGGAGTAGCTTCTGATGACCCTGCTTGTTTGTGCTATAGCAGTGGGATTCCAGCCACTTTACAAGAGAAAATCGCCTTTTACTGTTTTATGGGACCACAGGCAAGATTCTTAATTTGCATAACGCTGCGCAATGGGCGGCATGGAGAACCAAATTAACATTTTCCATCCCAGCAAAATACACATAACAAAACAAATGTTAGTCACCTTGTTCAGCACCCACTGTCAGCCTGGAAAAGCTAAAACTTTTTCCCTTTAGTCCTGATCCACTCCACGTGAGGGCGGATGACCTCCAAATGATAATTCACAATGGGGTCTGTGGTCAAGGTGAAGAGCAGATAGTCACCCCAAGAGACAGGCCTGTTGAGCCTTCTTTAGGGCTCATGGAGTGTGACCAGACTAATAATGAGGGTTCTCTGAGTTAGGCCTGCTGGACTTCCATCAGCAACCCCCTCTGAGATCCCTTCCACATATACAAACACACACAAAGAGGAGATGGACAGAAGGCCTTCCAAATTAGATCCCTAACCAAGAACTCCAAGAGTATCCTTTCCAAATTATCCTCCTATTCTCCATCTGAGAAACCTCCTCGAAATCTTCCTGATTGAGGAGAAGTCTCCCAAACCAGGACTCCTCCTACTACTTAGAATGAACTAACTGAAGGCTGGGTGCAGTGGCTCATGCCTATAATCCCAGCACTTTGGGAGGCCAAGGCAGGTGGATTACCTGAGGTCAGGAGTTTGAGACCAGCCTCACCAACAAGGTGAATCCCTGTCCTACTAAAAATACAAAAATTAACCAACTGTGCTGGCACGCACCTGTAGTCCGAGCTGCTTGGGAGGCTGAGACAAGAGAATTGCTTGAACCCAGGAGGCGGAGGTTGCAGTGAGCCGAGATTGTGCTACTGCACTCCAGCCTGGGCGACAGAGTGAGACCCGTCTCAAAAAAAAAAAAAAAAAAAAGAACCAGCTGAGACCCCCCAGAGCCAGATACCCTTCAATGATGGTACAGATACAGGCACCCCATGGTGGAGCTACAAACAGACACCCCACAATGGGGCTACAGACACCTCACCATAAGACTACATTACCAGTCAGGAGAAAAAAGGAGTCATTGGCAGTGTCTAGGCTACTCACCAATCTAGACACCCCGCAGTGGGATTACAGACAGACACCCCACCATGGGGCTACAGACACCCTGTGATATGGCTACAGTTAAGGGACATCTATCTCCCCAGGACAATTTCTCCATTGCAATTAAATCCATGCACATTGGGTCAGCAGCATCATGCCAGTAGAAAGAAAACTAGGGGGCCACTCGGGCTGGCTTTTGGATCCATCACTGGAGGGGGGCCACTGAACCAAGGCAGGTAGCCACAAAGGCAATCCCAGACAAGCCCCCAGATTTATAACCACCCAAGGGTTTCACCTTGCCTGCTGCCTAGACAATGCTAATTCATCAAGACAGAGAAATTGCACTGAAGAAAGAGTACTTCACACAGAGCTGGCTGTGCAGGGGACTCAAGTTTTATCATTACTCAAATCAGTCTCTTGGGGCATTCAGGGAGCAGTTTTTAAGGATAACTTGGTGTGTTGGGAGAAGCCACTGAGCAAAGAGTACTGACTGGTCAGAGATGAAATCCTTTCGAGTTGGTGCTGTCTTCTTGTGCTCAGTTAGTTCCTGGGTGGGGACCACAAGATCAGATGAGCCAGTTTATTGACCTGAGTGGGGCCAACTGATCCATCAAGTGCAGGGTCTGCAAAATATCTCAAGCACTGATCTTAGGAGCAGTTTAGGGAGGGTCAGAATCTTGTAGCCTCCAGCTGCATGACTCCTAAACCATCATCTCTCATCTTGTGGCTAATGTTTGTCCTACAAAGGCAATCTAGTCCCTAGGCAAGAAAAGGTGTGCTTTGGGAAAGGGCTGCTACCCTCTTGGTTTAAACTATAAACTAAATTTCTCCCAAAGTTAGTTCAGCCTATGCCCAGGAATGAACAAGCACAGCTTGGAGGTTAGAAGCAAGACAGAGTTAGTTAGATTTCTTTCACTATCTCAGTGATAATTTTGAAAAGGCAGCTTCACAAATTTCTAAAAGTTTAGTTTCCTTGCTTGTTAGATACCTATGTAATGGAGTTTATTCTGAGGTTTCTGTGAGGTAACATATGAGAGAGAGTGCTTTGAACATTTCAGAATCAGTGTAAATTATCTTGTTACAAAGTATTCAGAAACAACAGCCCATTGTTTTAAGATAACAATCCTTTTGTTAACCTCCTTATGAGAAACCTCCTACAATCTTATAGCAGGTAGTTGAAAGACCTGCTGAGATGACTCTACAGCAAACTCATGTTACCTAGTTAATGCCTTTTGCCCACAGTTTCTTCAGGGAAAGCCCATGAAGTGCCTGCCGTTCGTAGATTTCTTGAGCAGGCATTCTGGTGGTTGGAGATTTAAGCTTTGCTAGAAAGCATGCCATTTCTACAAAGTAGAAAGCAATTCATTCAGAGGGGATTCACTTGAAAATAGCAAATTCTATCTTCTCTTTGAAAACTACTTTGAGGCTCTCCTGAGCCCCTTCAATCTCACAAGTGGGTAAGCATCTTCCTTCACACTAAAGAGTGCCCCCTTCAGCACAAATCATGCTGTCTTATAATGTATTTGTTTCCATATGTGTATGTGCATCATAAAATAGATTACCATTTATTTCTTATTGATTTGTGTGAGTGTGTGTGTGTTTTTGTACAATTAACGTATTTTTAAATCCCCACCACCCTACTCAGCACAAAGCCTGGCACTTAGTTCCTGCTCAATAAATGAAAACAGTTGTGTAAGAGGTAACACTTTAGTCAGTGGTGATGCTTTAGTTTCCTTTTAATTCCCCTTTGCCCCTCCCCTTCACAAAGAGAGTAAATACCTGGAGGCCCTAGACCCTCAAAGACCGTTAGCCCTGCTGCCTAGGCTTTAGACCTTTAGCCTAGGCATACCCCAATTTATTGTCTCCAGTCCGCTCAACCCTGGAGCTGCTGGGCTTCTGTGGAGAAGCTTTTTTCTCCCACTCTGTCCTCTACCCCCCGAGTTCCAGGGGTTTATTGCAGGTCATGTCTTCCAAAAGATCCCTCTTCTCCACCTGAAAAGGATTATAATTTTTGGTGCTTTATTCTAAACAAACTCTTCTAAAAGAAAAATCATTTGGTGAACTCATTCATATTTTGTTGTTAAGGACAAGCAAATCTTTAATGCATTATTCTATTCTAGCATCTTTGCATTAAAAAAAAAGATGGTAACAACTACTTCGAGGATGGAAAAGGGTTGGGCCAAAGGAATGAATTCCTAATGGTCAGTCAGTGTGACTGGGGTTGGGATAGGGAGAAGAGAGAGGCTTTAGAGCACAGTCCTTTGTTTTTTTATTTTTTTATTTTTGCCTCTGGAAACCTATTTGTAGGACCAGCCCTACTCAAAAGAGAAAAAAAATCTGTTTCACTCCCAAAACATGCTTGTGAGCCTCTTCTCTATTTCCCACATGGCAGAACTGTTATAGAGGAAAGGGAACAAATTTTGCCTACTGGAGTCTGAGTTAATATCCCTGATGGCCCAGATAGTAGTGGTGGGTGGGGAGTTTGTAGGGAGTGAATTTTCTCTCCAGCTTCAGATTGCTGGGAGTATCCTCAGCCTGTTATGAAAGAGACTCTTCACCTTTTAGCCCTGATTTACTCTCCAGCCAGCCTGAGATAAGTCTGTGGCCAAAGAGAGGGTTAGTACTTTAATCTGCAAAATTCCTTATGTCACCTCTCCTGGCTTGCATTCTTATGAGGGCATGTGACTTTTTCAAAACTGTTCTTTCAAGCTAATTACATACCCATGTCAGATGGGAGTAGCTCCCTGCTCTCTTCAACCTGGTCAATTCTCTCTTCCTATAAGCAAATGACCGTAGTCTAATTCTGTAAACCGGGTGTCTGTAGGTACACTGCAGGTGAAGCTGGCAGTACAAACCACTTCCATTTACATTTGGTTGTGAGATGGGAATTTTGCATCTTATTTCTCTTCCTTAAAATTGATTGGCATAATATTCTATGAAAACCATTTGTCACGTGCCCAATTGGCGATGGCATGATCTCGGTTCACTGCAATCTCAGCTTCCCAGGTTCAGGCAATTCTCCTCCCTCAGCCTCCCAAGTAGCTGGGACTACAGGCACCCACCACCACGCCTGGCTTAATGTTTTATATTTTAAGTAGAGACAGAGTCTCACCATGTTGGCTAGGCTGATCTCAAACTCCTGACCTCAGATAATCCACCCACCTCAGCCTCCCAAAGTGCTGGGATTACAGACATGAGCCACCTTACCCAGCCTCCAGGGTCTCTTGACACCACCACTAACTTGTCAGTTTTGCTCTTGTTTTGGAGGCAGGCCATGTCTTTGTCCGGATGTATATGGTATTGGCTGGCAACTCCTGACCTTCCTCTGTGCTTCCGAAGACACCACTTCTCCCAGACCTTTCTTTTCATTGTTGCTGCCCATTCTCAGCAGCAGGGACATTTGTATGACCAGTATGTACATCTAAAGGCCACCATTGAGTCATAAAATTGTCAGCACAGCAGTAAGATGCACGCATAAGCAATGCTATCTGAAAGAGGAGAACAGGTACTTCACAGAGTCCTCTGTATTTTCAAGTTTCTTTCAAAGTCACATAATTCGGGCCACTGTGTGGATAGTGTAGCCCACAGAGCTATAGCTATCACAATATGGTCAATGGGGATTCAACAGTCTTTTCTTATATGTGAATTTGTGAATTATCCTCAAGGGTAGAAATGATTCTTCCAAACCAAAGTGGAATGACAGTAAGTGCCCTTGGTATAGCCGTGTGCCTGCTCACTTGTGTTTAGGAATCCAGATGCCAGGTGAGAACCCACAGCAACCACAGTTTGGTGGAGTGAGCCACAGCGGTTCATGTGGTGGCACTGTGGGAGCTCAGCAGGGTGTGTTTTGTGTCTTCTCCTGCAGCTATTGACCTGCTGTACTGGCGGGACATCAAGCAGACGGGCATCGTGTTTGGGAGTTTCCTGCTGCTGCTCTTCTCCCTGACCCAGTTCAGCGTGGTGAGCGTCGTGGCCTACCTGGCCCTGGCTGCGCTCTCAGCCACCATCAGTTTCCGCATCTACAAGTCTGTTTTACAAGCTGTGCAGAAAACCGACGAGGGCCACCCTTTCAAGTGAGTGCCTCAACTGAGGAGCCCTCACCCCCCAAGCAGGGGCTTTTCCCCTCACCTGTATTTCAGCTCACAGATGCACTTGAGTCATGTTTCTCTGAGACCCAACAGACCTCTTAGAGTCTCCCCTAACACCTTGTCTTTGAGTATATAACATTGCTGGTGAATTTGTGAAACAAATTTGATTATTCTTATTCTAATACTTATTGCTTTGTTGAGTTTTCATATGTATTTACTTCTAACAGTAATCATAATCCAACAATTACTTAATCCTCTTAACTATATGAGAAAGGCACAGCAGGCATTTTCATTCCTATTTACAAGTGGGAACACTGAGGTTCCAAGAAGTAATGTGACATGCTCAAGGCCAGGTGGCCAGTAAATAGCACGAAACCAGGACTAGAGTATTTGGAATTTTGTTTCCATGCTCTTCTCTAGAAGTTTAACACCAAAGGACCAACCTTCTGAGGGGGTGCAGCGTTCATGAACAGATTTATCATATATCCTTCTCTGCATTTTTATACTGGGGAAAACCTGATTTGAATGCACATTGAAGAGGAGGAAATACAAAAATAAAAGGGCAGTCTACTAAGAGGATATATGACATGTGGCAGAGGGAGGTGTTAGCACTGCCACCTGCTATAACAGAATACCATAGACTGAGTGGCTTATAAGCAACAGAAATCTATTTCTCACAGTTCTAGAGGCTGGGAAATCCAAGATTAGGGTGCCAGCAGGGTTGGGTTCTGTTGAGGGCCCTCGCCTGGGTTGCAGATTGCCAATTCCTCACTGTATCCCACTTTTACTGTGGGATGGAGTGAACAAGTTCCCTTGGGCCTCTTTTCTAAGGGCACTAATCCCATTTGTGAGGGCTGCACACTCATGATCTAATCACCTTCCGAAGGCACCACCTCCTAACACTGTCACATTGGAGCTTAAGATTTCAACATGAATTTGGGGAGGACACATTCAGTCCATAATACTCCTGAAAACTCAAGCCAAATACTGCTTTACTCTTTTTATCTCAACACAGAGTTAAGTAAGCACTTAAAGCACTCTAGGAGTATCCTCTAGGTAGATAATAGGTGCTGTCTTAAAGCAGAGGAAAGGAGGGAGGAAGGATGGATCTCTCTGGAGGAGCTTGGCCAAGCTGAAGAGGCTTAAGCTGGGATGATATTTGTCTATTTGTATTTTACATGTTTTTCCCACCCAAGAGTTAAATTTAACAGTTTTTAACTAATGAAAAATGTTATTACTAAAAATACCACTCAGTAGAACCCATAAGTATTTGAATATGGCCCAGGTCACTTGAGTTTTCAGTGCTCTTTCGATAAACCTGGAAGTAAATCCAGAATTTAAACATGAATTCTTAGAGTTCTTTTTTTTTTTTTTTTTTGAGACAGAGTTTCACTCTTGTTACCCAGGCTGGAGTGCAATGGCGCGATCTCGGCTCACCGCAACCTCCGCCTCCTGGGTTCAGGCAATTCTCCTGCCTCAGCCTCCTGAGTAGCTGGGATTATAGGCACGCACCACCATGCCCAGCTAATTTTTTGTATTTTTAGTAGAGACGGGGTTTCACCATGTTGACCAGGTTGGTCTCGATCTCTTGACCTCGTGATCCACCCGCCTCGGCCTCCCAAAGTGCTGGGATTACAGGCGTGAGCCACCGCGCCCGGCCCAAATTCTTAGAGTTCTTAAGAGGAACAGTCGGCAGCTAGGATTTTGGGCTATCTCAACTACTTTAAAAAGATAATTTATCTCCATGAAGTTATGTATGGAGAATTCAGCAAATGAGCTGATTTTGCACTGATTTTTTTTCTCTGGTCCCAGCTGGTTTCTCTGAATTTTCAGCCTTCCCATGCTATTTCTTAGATAGCCAGAAACAGTCACAATGCTCCACTGAGAACCATGCTTTCTGTGTTCCCAGTGCACTGGAAGCAGATGTGGATGGTGCCCTGTGGCCCTTGCTGGCTGGCATAGCCCCCCAGAGATGTCCCCGCCCTCACTCTCAGAGTGAGAAAAGGAACACTCAACTATTAATGGGGGGTGTGGCAGCCTGTCTCATGATTCCCTCTGATGAAATTCTCTGTGGGAATGGTTTGTTGACAGGGCCTACTTGGAGCTTGAGATCACCCTTTCTCAGGAGCAGATTCAGAAGTACACGGACTGCCTGCAGTTCTACGTGAACAGCACACTTAAGGAACTGAGGAGGCTCTTCCTTGTCCAGGACCTGGTGGATTCCTTAAAAGTACAGTTGCTTAAGCTGCTTACTTTACAATCTTGACTGTTATTTTCCCTAAAAGTATAATACTATAAACTGCTACATCACAGAGAATGAAAACCAAGTGCTAATTATATTCTAGAGTCAGAAGACCTCCAGTTGTATGACACCAAGAAACAGTCTAATCCCTTCATTGTACCAATGATGAAACTGTGGCTCAGAGAGATGAAAACATTTCAGGGTTTCCCAGTGAGTCACTAGCAGAGCTGGAATCAAACCTAGGTCACATAGCTTCTAGCTCTACAGTCTTTACAATGCACCAGATTTCTCCTTAAACCATTTTTAGTTCCTCCAACAATTTCCCAAAATTAATGTTAATATAAAAAATTCTAGATAGGGAATGTGAAAAACATATATTTTTGCATTGAAGGAAACTCTGGATTCTGCAAATATTAATAGTAAGACCTCGAAGTGTGCTTACATAGTTACAGCTGGGAGACTGAGCCATCTGAAGGGTACAGGTATGCCCAGCCCCTCACTTGATGAGGATCAGAAGCACCTGGGGCTCTCACTGAATTTGCTGGGTTCCTTTCAACAAGCTGCTTTGGCCTCCTGGTGATTTACAGTAGAATCCAAGTTAGTCAATTGTGATTCGGCATAGCCATAAGCAAAGCTGGGAAAGCCCAGGCAAGGTAGTTGTGAGGGTTCTGTGCTCCCAGAGCACTTTGTACACACCATGGCAGGGGCTTGTACTGGGAGCTGTTTGGTAGCTGTTCAAGGAAGGGCAGAAGGAAAAATGAAAAATGCGGGTTTGACCCTCAAAATGCTTTACTGGAATAATGACTTGCCATATAATGACTGAAGAGAGATAACAGGGCAATTATAATTACTTACCTTAGTGCTTTAAGGTCATGGTTGTATTTGTAATGTAAAAATGGTAGGCCAGAACAGGGGTCAGCAAACCTTATCCACGAAGAGCCAGATGGTAGATATTTTAGGCTTTGCACGCCACACTATCTGTGGCACCTTTTCAACTTTGCCATTGTAGTACAAAAGCAGAAAAAGACAATAGAAAGAGGAAGAGCTTGACTATGTGCCCATAAAACTTAATGAACACTGATAATTTGATTCAATATCATTTCACATATTAGAAAATAGTACTCTTGTTTTATTTTATTTGACCATTTAAAAATGTGAAAATCATTGTTAACTCGTGGGCATATACAAAAACAGGTCAAGGGCCACAGCTTGCTGACCCCTGGCCTAGATTATTTCCTGTGTCTCTCAAACCTTATCACAAAGTGGTCCAAAGGTTTCCAAGAGAACTAAAGACTGCATCTCCTTTCAATGATTCTGTGAAGAGCTTTCAACACCTTTCATTGACTATTGAAATCATGATGTATTCTGACTCAAATATGAATCTAGGTAAAAGTCAATGATATGAGACTCTTCTTGTCAGGAAGGGTTTTAGGAACAATGCTTTTGTTCTTCAGTTCGCAGTCCTGATGTGGCTCCTGACCTACGTTGGCGCTCTCTTCAATGGCCTGACCCTGCTGCTCATGGGTAAGAGCAGATGAGAGTATATACATCTTCCTTCACATCCTCTGTGAAAACGCTGCTTCCTAGGCTGTAAGCTTTTCATTTGTTTAAAGAGATTCCTAGGAACAAATGCCAGATATATCTGAGTACAGAGCACTTCTCTTACTGTCATAGTTCAATTAAAGTGTGTAATATATATTATACACTAATAATGAATTCTTAAGTCTAAAGGTTTTTTTTTTTTTTTTTCTTCAAACATAACTGGCTTCTTTTTGGCTTATAATATATATTTGGATCTGTTTACAGTGGCAGCAATGGATAGAGATTCATTTGCATCTTGGGAGGGGAAAGTGTATCCTAATTCTAGTAATAATTACAAAATACCTGTATAGGGCTCAGCATCATTTTATTTTCCCTATGAACTGCCCGTCATCTTTTATCTAGAATTCTGGATATTGCTTCCCAAAATAGGGGATAAAAAATAAAATAAAGTGCTGGATATTCCAAATAATGCTATAATATCATATAACAATATAAAAATGTATCTATAAGTGTATTCTTATTGATAACTCAGAATTTTAATACTGTATTTGTTTTTCATCCCAGCTGTGGTTTCAATGTTTACTCTACCTGTAGTGTATGTTAAGCACCAGGTAAGTTCTATGTGATGTCAAACAATGACATAAAATTTTGACCTCATGATCTTTGGATGTGCTCATTATTTTTTTTCTCTGTGTAGGCACAGATTGACCAATATCTGGGACTTGTGAGGACTCACATAAATGCTGTTGTGGCAAAGTAAGTCACATAGGGCAATGTATAAGATCCAATGAGTAGATTAGGATAGGGGTAATGAGAAGATAGTAAAATGACAGATTAATTTAAGTTTTTTAACTCTCAATTAAATAAAACCCCATGGTTTATTTCAAGTTTCACAGTGAGTTTTAATGAATGAATGATATTAAGCTCCATCTAAGGACTGCCCCATGTACAAGAACAAGATGCATTGGAGGAAGGAGGAAAACTTGATTCCAAAAATAAAATTAACAGTGTAATTCAAATAAAAACAATTAAGTTAACATTTTTAATCCTTTAAACAATGAATGGCACTAATTTTTAAGAAACATTAAAATTACTTTTAAACCTTGAATTATTTTAGAACTTTAAAATACATAAAATGTTTGCCAGCTAAATAACATCACACCATTTTAATTCAACAATTATGTGTATGTGTTTAATCCCATTGCTTTTTAAACCTGAGTCTTAAACAAGCCTTACTTTATGGCTACCTTACATATTAGGAGATAGAGATTTTAGTTTTACATATCAACAGCTAACATGGCCATTAAACTTAGGAGTTTTCCTTACTTCTTACATTACTATTTTTAGATGTATAGTCATCTAAAGTGATAGCTCTTATATTGCATTTTTATTCAATATTTTGCTTTATTAAAAAGCCAGCCTAATCTTCAACTACAAATACATATCACCAAAGGAGTAGACTTTTTCACAAAAACTCTATCTAATTATCCGATAATTATGTGGCTGGACCTAGGTGGGGGTCAGATTTAGAGAGAGGCATTTTAGATAGTTAAAGATGTATAATAACAAAATAAGAAAGGCCAATCACATTGAAGTTCCTCTGCCATTAGATTATATGTGATCTGCTTCAGTTATCTCCTGAAGTTTATAAACTTTTGTTTTTTACTATGTATTATTTACATTTTTTCTCTTGAATTCATTAGGAACTCATAGGGTTCTGTGTTGAATTTGGATCTGTGAGAGATCTACAACACATTTCAGAATGCCTGAACTTACCAGCTTGGACCCAGGTGTAACCAATACCTAATGAAAATCAACACATTAAGCATAAAATAATCATTTTATTTTATATTAAGAAATGGTAGCATAGCGCAGTATGAGACTTGGTGGCACCCAAACCTGTGGAGCCTATTTAAAAATACGAATTCCAAGACCCCACACAGACCTATATAATTAGAATTTCTAGGATTGGTGACCTGGAATTTTTATTTTAATGAACTTCCCAGGTGACTTTTTGGCAGCTAGAACTGTGTTCATAAACTACATTAAAGAACACCAGAATAGGGGTTTGGAAACTGGAAGATAGAAGTTCTAGACCTAAGTTGTCCAATACTTAGTTTGGGGATCACAAATCACATCTCTTACTTTTTCTTTTTTTTTTTTTTTTTTTTTTGAGACGGAGTTTCACTCATGTTACCCAGGCTGGAGTGCAATGGCGCGATCTCGGCTCACCGCAACCTCTGCCTCCTGGGTTCAGGCAATTCTCCTGCCTCAGCCTCCTGAGTAGCTGGGATTACAGGCACGCGCCACCATGCCCAGCTAATTTTTTGTATTTTTAGTAGAGACGGGGTTTCACCATGTTGACCAGGATGGTCTCGATCTCTTGACCTCGTGATCCACCCGCCTCAGCCTCCCAAAGTGCTGGGATTACAGGCTTGAGACAACGCGCCCGGCCTTATCTCTTACTTTTTCATTTGGTCTGTTGGTTGAGTCCAAAAAGAGGAGTACCTGTTATGTTCTGGAGACTTCATATGACAGGTACAGAGGGTATAAAGATAAATGAAATGATCTCAGCCCTAAAAGAGCTCTTAGCCTAGTGGTGCAGACAAAATTGTACAGAAATAAACTATAATAAAATATGATAAGTATAATAGAGCTGTATGAAATACGAAAGTCAGAGAGATGAAGAAACCATTGTTCCTTCCTGGACAGGATAGTGGAAAGCCATTAAGATAAGGTGGCATTTGACCTGGGCCTTGAAGGATGGGTAAACAGTCATCAGGTGGGTGATGAGAGGAAAGACATTGTAAGAGGAAGAGACAATAAAGCAAAGGCAGAGAAGCATGAAAATGTCAGTCACGTTCAAGAGGAAACTGTCAACCAGTGTGTCTAGAGCTTAAATGAGTCGAAAAATCAACTAGAAGGAATTTAGGAAGAGAGGCTGAGGCCAGGGGTGAATGCTCTGTGGGGTTTTGACTCCAACCCAACAGGAAATGGCCGGCCCTTGACGTTTTTAAGCAGGGGATTGATGTTATCAGATTTGTGCTTTTTAAATATCACTATGGCAGTTTAGTGAGAAAAGAATTGGAGAGGGGAAAGACTAGAGATTTCTCTAGGCGGCTATCATTATTCAAACGAAAGTGACAGGGGCATGGCCTGGTTAAAATGGAGGGAAAAGAGAGATGGCAGCGAATATAACGTATATACAATGTACTTGTTAAATTACAATTGGAAATCAAGGCTGTGAAAAGGAATGGAAAGGAAACATGTTAGCTATGACTAATGTGGCTTCTGTAATTGAGCTTCAGGTAGAGTTGGCTCTTAACTTCCCAGTAGCTGGGACAAAAAGAGAAACTCAGCAAGTTACATGGTTTTTACTATCTATCACAAAGGAGGAAACAACAGTTTTTCAAAATAACCTGTTTTGTCTGGCACTATATTTTGAAGGAAATTTCTTGGTAGGATCTTAACTCTAAGGCCTCTTCAACCTCTGAAATTCTAATTACACCTTAGAATAATTCCAGCAAAAGAACTTCCACCATTTTAGTGGAACAGTTAAGAACATGATCGTTAGAATCAGATAGACTAGGTTGAATCAGTTTCTAGCTTTTTTAGCTGTATAATCTCATCATGATGTTATATGACTCTAAGAGCCTGTTTCCTTATCTGTAAATTGGAAATGTTAATACCTCATAGAATTCTTGGTGGTTAAGTGAGGTCATGTCTATAAAGTATTCTTAACTAGAGGTAGGAAACCCTCAATATTATATATCATTGTCATCATCATCCATCCTATTACTGCTTAGAGATCACTTCATGGGGCATGGAGGTAGAGGACAGTCCCAGACTGGGCCAGTAGACCCCAGGGCCACTCTCTCCTCCATACTAAGCGACCCTGTCTAGGTCATTTTGCCATTGTGGTCTCAGTTTTCCAGCTTAAAATGGGGGTTGATAATATATAATAACACTTCTTAGAGTTTTGAAAGTGAGAAAAAAGGCCTCAAATTTCAAAAGGCAAAATAAATATTGTAGAGGAAATTAAAGCTTTAAGTAGGTGACACCATAATAAGAAATCTGCTTTAAGTAAATACAGTTCCCTATGTCTAGGTGAGTTACGTTTTAGAGTGATAAAATAGCCTATGACTTTACCTAGAAGCTCTCTTGGTGACCTTTGATAAATCTCATGGAGTAAAGGACATCCTGAAAACTGAAATTGGAAAGGAGCTGTCCTGATCTTCAAATGAGAAGAAAGAAAAGATTCCAGGCATTATCTCTGATAAATTGAAGGCCTAATTTCAAGCAAAAATCCAGATTGAATTAGTAAAACTGTAGATATTCAGAATAGATCATTATATGGTCACTAAACCCTGGGCTGATATAGACTGCCCTAGTCAGTGAGTATTCTGATTTTAGTGGGGATACTCAACAAGTCTTTCTGGTGTCCTTGTGGAGAAAAATGGAGATGTATGATCCAGATGATAGCACAGGTGGTAGAATTCTAGAAGGTTGAATAGTAGACCCTAAAGACCCTAAAGATGTTTATTAATTCATCAAATATGTGTCTGAGGCAAGGTATGTGCCACAGAGCCTTGCCTTTGATCCCATTACTTTCAATCCCATTACTTCCATGACTGTGTGAAGACAGATGAAATATCTTTATCAAAAGATATTTTGATACAGTTTGAAGTGAAAGAAAATTCAGAAGACAGTAAGCTCAAGATTCAAAATGAATGAAAGGATCTTGAGTAAGCTAGATTGCTGAATTAAAATCAATAAAATGAAATTAATAAGGAAAGTAAAGCCCTACATTTAGGTTTCTAAAAAGTCAGCATTATAGATATAGAATGCAGGGAGGGATAGATGAGAAAGGGTAACAGTAAGTGTGTATGTAAAAAATACCTTGGGGGTTTTAATTGATTGATTGGTCACAGCCAAATGTAAGTCAATAATGTGCTGAAGTATCTTTAAAAAATAAATGCAAGTTGAGTTGTTACTAGTAGGAGTACAAAGTCTAAATCAACAGAGGCCACAGTCACATTATATTCCATATTAGCCATCTCATATCTGTGTTCAATTTCAGGGTTGGACATTTTAACAGATGCATTAATACATTGGAGTAATGCCACAAAGTTGACCAGGGTACTATGGTATTAGAAATCTAATAGTAATGAGCAGTAATGAGCAGTGAAGAGCAAACTTTGCTGGGGATGACTACCCTGGAAAAGAGATGACTTTAAAAGGACACCATAGCCATTCTCAAATACTTGGAGGTCTAACATTGTAAAAGGAATAGTATTTCTCTTTTTCTCTAAAGAGCAATGAATGGAAATTTTAGAAGTTCTGAGATTTTAATATGAGAGAAAAGAGTAATGATTAGAGTTGTTCAATAATAGAGCCATCTGCCTCATAAAGGAGTGAGTTCCCTGACATTCATTCAAGTGTTCAAATAGAAGTTAGGTAGCCATCATTGCATGTGTCCTCTCTTGGCTCCTCCTACTCTTGTCTACCTCTCTTCTGGTCCTGTGACTTCAAAGGTTATTTTTGTATCTAGGGTTCCAAACGTGTGTCTCCAGCCCAGACCTCTTCAACTAAGCACCAGGCCTATCCACTTCTTTATGTAAGGTTTCTCTAAAGTGTCTCATAGCCAAACAGATTCAGATTCACATAGCCAAACATCTTGAAATCTCAACCAAGAACTTGTATTTCCTTCAGTCATCACCATCTTGGTCAATGCCATTTTCACCTCGTTTCTCAGACTAAAAACCAAAGAATCTTCATTGATTACTCTTCCTCTAATCCTAGCCTGTGCATTCAGTTCATCAACAGATCAGGTGGGTCCTGCAGCCTCATCTCCAAACTAATCCTGAGACTGTTCCACTGTCTTCATTTCCATGTCTACCATACAGTCCAGCCATTGCCATCTAGTACTTGGACTGCTATGGGTTTCTCTCCAACTATTCATTGCTTCTACTCCCATTTCCCTATTTTTTTCACACAGCCATCATCATGATCTTCTTACAACATTAATCAGATCACATCACTCCCCTACCTAAATTCATCAATAACTTCCCATCCCACAGGGGAGAATCTAAACTCCTTACCACAGCCCACAAGCTCCAACGCCCACCATCTGGTCCCTGCCTGCCTTTCAGACCTCCCCTATCCATGCCCCAAACACATGGGCTTCCATTCTGCTTGCCACCAGCTTGTCCTCTCTGTGATGCCTCTGCACTTGTTACTCCCTCTTCCTGAAACACTTCACATCTAGATCTTTGCCTGATGGCCCTTTCCTGTCCTCTGAGGATCAGTTTCTCAGATGAGTGGATTTAAAGGGGTGCTGCCCACCTTACCACTTTGCCCCTCACTGTCTGCCATACTGCCTTGATTTTCTTTATAGCAGTTGTCGCCATCTGAACTTCTATTGTCTTCTGGCTTATTTCTGTCTCCTCAATCCCTACAAGAATGAAAACTCCACAAGAGCAGGAATCTCTTCCCTTTTGTCGACCACTGAATTGCAGTACATGGAAGGGTACCTGGTGGCACAGAGGGAGGTCTCAATCAAAATCTGCACAATGAGCTCATAAATGTTCAAGTTAACAAAACACTTTCAGTGTAAACCTATCCTAAAATCATGCTGCCACATTGGGAGCATCACAGAATTTCAGGGACCCTGGCGATATCTAGTCTGTGCCATATTTTAATGATGAGTATTTAGGACAAGAAAAGTCCATTAGTTTGCCGGATGCCATGCAGCTAATTAATAGATCTGCCTGAGACTAGGACCCAGGTTTTTAAATTCCAGTTCTGGGTAGTTAGACTACTCTGAGGGTGAACATAGATTTCTTTTCCTATGTCCAACACAAGAACAGATTACATCCCTAGTTATATAATCATCTCTAGTTATGCTCATCTTCCTGGCATAGTTAGTAATAGCACTTTCTCTCTCTTTCTGAAGTGTCCCGGATGGGGGATAAATGATCACCCTAATTATATCACAGCTTCTGTAATCCTGAAACAAATCAACATGTTCATCTGCCTAAAAAGATCTAAAAAATGTGCCTTTCTTCCAATTCTCTTTTTTGTTGTTGTTATTTTCATTATCCAGTTTTTACTTTCTTATTGCTTTATATAAGAGTATTTACAGACATACATAGGTAAAAATGATATCTTCTGGAATATTAAACTCTTTGGTCACTTAGCTAATTAAAGCAACAACACATAAAATGATTTCATTAATAACACTTGTGATTTACTACCTTTTGATACTGTCTTTTTAGGATTCAGGCTAAAATCCCAGGCGCTAAGAGGCACGCTGAGTAAACTGATATCGCACCGGGGACTGGACACAAACAGGAATGTCTGAAGTGGTAACAGCTCCCTTCTTACTCGTTACTGCAAATTGATTGTGCCCCCTTCCCCCCAGTACCATAATCTTAGAGACAAACCTTAAAACAGCTGTTTTTAGGCTGTTCCTTGTACTCTTAGGATATTTGAGTCACTTGTGTCAACCACTAAAGTATAGAGAAAAGTGTATTAGATGTGGTTTTTAATTTTGTGTTGCTAAAAAAAAGTGCATGATGGTGAGAGCCCAAGTTATCTTTCCTTCTTTGGTGTTCTTCTTCTCTTCTCTGCAATGCTTCTGTAGCTTCTAACGTTCCCGTGGCTAGGCCTTTCCTGCTGAGTGCTCTGATGCAATAGTGGAAATCGCTTACATGTCCTTGGGTTGCTGGTTGGATTAATCTTTAATAACAATATATAGAATTGTAGACTGATGTTTTAGCATTTTTCCAACACACACAACGTAAAAATAAAAACAGTCGACCGTACTTATGGTAATCAGTTTTGTATAACTTAAAATAATTAAATAAATGAATAAACCCAAAACGAACATGCAATACTTTTGTTGTATGGGATTGGTGCGCTGATTTACATGTATGGTTACTAAAAAGTACCAGCATGTTAACTTTATTACAATTTGTATTACTTTCTCTGTAGTTCCTAATGGATTCAATTACGGACTCTGGATATTTGCACTTATGTACTTGATACTGAATGCATAAATAAATGTTACTAAATGTAGAATGTTTTCCCTCTCTTCTCATGCATGGTCTTACTGGAAAGCACAAAAGCTCAAAGTGATGAAGCCACTTGATGACATTCTGGGAGGGCTGGGAGCAACTGCTCACCTTATTCTCTCTCCAGGACTGTAGAGTCAAACCCCAACCTGGCTTATGGTTTTTCTGAGTCATTAATAGAAAACTGAACAGTGGTAAACTGTAAATCATTCTTTATATTTTACTGTGTGGAGTGGATGCAGATATTTTAAATAGTTTTTTTAAAAACTTGAAAGTGATATAAATCCTTACATAAACTTTACAGCAAATATGCAGCAAAAACACTGGCAAAAACAATTGTAATTGCTGTGAACACACCCTTGTAGTAATTACTTACTAAGCACCAAATGTTTGCTAAGCCCTAAGAAAAGGGCTGTGAATAAGAGAGATGACAATTGCTGTCCTCACCACGTAAAGTCTTCTAATAATTTTCTCACCACTTTTTGTACAAGTCCAGTTGCATATTTTGTTTCACTGCTACAATCAGATGTCGAAGACGAAGAGGTAGAAGTGAATGAAAGGAGTGGCAATTCGAGAAGAAAATAAATGATTGCTTATAAAAAGCTGCCTTTTACCAGTTTTACACATGGGTTCAGTAAATATTTGTGGAGTTACCCTTCTGTACAAAGTGGTGTGAAGATTACAAGGGCCGCTTGACAGTGTGCCAGCAGCCAGACGCTCTGGTCACTGTGCTGGGGGAGAGGGTAGGTGGCCATGTGGAAATGCTAACTAAGAAAAGGGTAGCATAAAACAAGAGCCATGATGCAGGGATTAAGCAACAGAAGATTCCCAGGGGAGGTGAACTTCAGGGCTGGGAAACCAGATGAAGAAAGTCCACCCAAGGTGAAGAAAGAACATGAGCTAAAGAGCCAAGATGTGGAATGTGAGGCATATGTAGAGAATGGTGAGTTAAACAAGCTTAGATGGCTTGTAAAGTTCTTGAGGTGGAAATGGTGGTGCCAAATAAGGCTGGAAAGGTGGGTTGAGATCACAATGGGAAGAAACTTGGATGCCTGTGCCAAGGAGTTTGGGCTTTATTCTCTACATCTCGGAGAGTCATATAGACACAACAAAGGTGCAAGATACTGAAGGCTAGACAGACTGATAATTGTAAACTAACTCTACATAGGTGCCAGATGACTAGGTCTTTATTAGAACAGCCACAGGAAGACTAGAAAGATGTTCACCTGTCCCTGATCCTTGATGTTAGCCCAGCATGCCAAGCATCCACCATGGACAAGGTGCAGCTAACAGATGATGTGGAGGGATATTGGACTGGAGCTGGTGACCGACTGGCCTTAAAAGTGAGTGCCTCCTTGAATTGTGCACCCAAGGAAGCTTGATTGCCTCACCCTAGCCCAGCACGAAGACTCACTGATCAGGAGGATGCAATGCCATTTTCCAGGACAGAGAGCCCAGAAGAGATGATTTGGGGAAGGAAGATAGTAAGCTTAGTTTGATGCCTGACTTTTTTCTTAATAGATAACTAAATTTAGAAGAGGATTTTCTTTTTTCTTATGTTTTTCACTCTCTGACCTTTTAGATAAGAGTTTCTTCTACATGGCTTTATTGTATAGAATTAATCTTCAATATCTGTGTCTTATAGCATTGTCCCCATTCTATAGGCCCAGAATTCTTTTCCCAGGCAGCTGCTCATTAGGAAGGTTTAATTAGGAACTCTATTTGCTGGCAGTGGTGGAGAAGATTCCTAAGGAAACTCTAGGCTTACAAAATGATAGATATGGATGTGGATTTTTCACAAATGGAACATGGGGCACATTATTCCCTGTTTCTACAGGGAGCATCAGCCCAGGTGATATTCAAGATGATGGAAATAATGTGAACAGATGAGAAGAGGACCAAAAGCAGAGCTCCTGGAAAACCCAGAGTGAGTGAGGTGATTCTGAAAGCTGTGAACAGTAGAAAATTCTTTCAGCTGGTAGACGAGTGAAGCCAATAGGAGCAGGTGAAGAAGCTGGAAAAAGCACAATAGTTTATATGTCCTCTGCTCTTCACCCATGCTGGTTTCCTAGGGTTGCTCTACCAAAGTTCCAGAATCTGGGTTTCTTCCTTTTTTTTTTTTTTTTTTTTTTAATGGAGTCTCGCTCTGTTGCCCAGGCTGGAGTGCAGTGACACAATCTCAGCTCACTGCAACCTCCACCTCCCAGATTCAAGTGATTCTCCTGCCTCAGCCCACCAAGCAGCTGGGATTACAGGTGCATGCCACCACACCCAACTAATTTTTGTATTTTTAGTAGGGATGGAGTTTTACCATGTTGGCCAGGCTGGTCGCAAACTCCTGACCTCAAGTGATCCACCCGCCTCAGCCTCTCAAAGTGCTGGGATTACCAGGCATGAGCCATCACACCTAGCCTCAAAATCTGAGTTTCTTAAAACAACAGAAATTTATTCTCTTACCATTCTGGAGGCTAGAAGTCCAAACTCAAGGTGTGGGCAGGGCCATGCTCTCTCTGTCTGCTCTAGGGGAGAACTCTTCCTTGCCTCTTCTAACATGTGCATTTGCCAACCATCCTTGGTGCCCCCGGCTTGCAGATGCAGTACTCCAGTCACAGGGCTGCCTCCTCCCTGTGTATCTTCATATCGTCTTCCCTCTGTGTCTAAATTTCCCCTTTGAATAAGGATACCAGTCATAGTGGAATAGGGCCCATCCTTAGAACCTCACTTTAACTTGATTATCTCTGTAAAGACCCTGTTTCCAGTAAGATCACATTCTGAGATACGGAAGCTTGGGGATTCAACATATCTGGTTTGAGGGTGGTACACAATTCCACCCAGACACCACCTCAGGGCTCCTATGGACCCTTACCCCACTATAAAGACTTTTCCTCCTGGTGTAGGTCCCAGACCTATCTCTGCATTTTGTTCCTCTCTGTCGGGAATCACTGCTGAGAAGCAGTCCCACAGCTTTCTACCTCACCCAAATGCTGGTGGGGTATGGTTGATTGCCTGGCCTTGCTTCACAGCTGTGAGGTTCCAACAATAACCACATTGTTCTTGCATAGGGCTGCTCTGAGCATCAGAAGGTTAGCACTCTCTTCTGTGTGCAGAGAAGCAGGTGAGGGAGACAGAGGAGCCACCGCTAGAGCTCACACCAAATGCAGTCGGGGTTGGAAGGGGACTAAACACCCTCTGATCCACCTGCCTTTAGACACCAACCTGCTTCCCTAGTGCTTGATATTGGCACCCTCCTTGATCGGATTTTTATTGTATGATTTTATTTTTGTGGTTTATCTTATGATTTTAATTTTTCCTCAATTCAATACATTTAATATTAAATTCAATGTTGCAAAATCAGTGTGGCTGGCCACATTTTCTGTGATTGGTAAATTGAAATGAATTCATTTGCATTCTAGGTCATCATGGTCTTTGAAAACAATTCTGCTAGATCAGCTGTCTCTGTTTTCTTCCTAAAATGATAAAATGGTCCTTAAGAATTAACACTGCATCTTTGCCTGCTTTCTCTAAACATACAACTGCTCTGGATTTTGCTTTGCATGTTTATGTCTTTATAAAACAAGAGAAGCCATCACTAAATTATGACAGGAGTCAAATTCTTAAGTGACTAATAGAGCCCTCTGTCAAAACAATACTCATAAAAATCAAACAGTTCATATGAAGGGTGACTTTTATCAACCTTTATTTCTAGCCATCACTAACAGAAATGAAGTAGCCAGATACAACAGATGAGACACTAACCTTTTTCAAAAAAATATTAAAACATTTTAAGTAACTAGCATTTTATAATAAAATGATCACATTGAATTATATCTTCCCCAAAGTGATTTTTAATGATGCATTTGACATGTTAGAATTAATATATTTAAGACTGCTTTTTAAAATGTATTATTAAAATTAATTTTAACTTTTTTTGAATAAAATATGGTTTCAGCATCTCCCAGCCAGTTTTCAAGTACTTGAAATGCTTATGTTTGGCTTATGAATCAAGGTGATGGTAAAATGTGCTTTGTCAAAATTCAAGTAGTGAATAGATAATTATCTTTTGTCAATGGTAAACCTTTGTTCCCTTGACTTATAAATCCAGGGCCAGTCAATAAAAAGTATGTGTGTGTCATGGAGACAAGGAGGAATGAATGGAGAGGAGCATACAAAATGGAGTACACAGATTTGCCTCCAGCTTTCTGGAGTGGTGCTTCATCCTTTCAGCAAAACATTCCTCAGGAATACCTGGCCACTCCCCACCCACAGTGCCCCTCCAAAATTCTATACTTCCCTAAAACATGTTCCTGGAATGCTTTCTCTGTGGTTCAAGAGGCACATGCAACCATGTGGAAGCCCACTGTGCTTCAAGCCCCCACTTCCCTACTATCAGGGAAGCGCCCCACTGGGAGTGGAGTTTAAATGTGCACCCCTTCAGTGGAGACGGTTCAGAAGCCAGCTTTGCAAGCAAAGAATTTCTTTAATCTTAGACGTTAGTGTGAAGCTGTCTGCCATTGCATAAGACATTTGCATTTACCTTAATTTAAAAACTCTCCCCCATACTTCTGTATTAAGTTGATTCAAGGAGAATGTACCGCGTTTCTCTTTTTACACCAAGTAGCCCTAGTTTAAGATAAATGGTTTTCAATACTTCCAAGATGCCATGAAGGCAGTTTTGGTTGGAAGATAAAATAGGTTTTGACCCTTGAAAGGGGGCTGCACCATGACAGCAGACTTGGGAAGACCATGCTGCATCTTAGCCAAGCTTGGCTTTCTTCCTCTCAGAAACTCTGTGAGTGTCCGTCCTCCAGAAAGATTGGCAAAGCCCTTACTTCCAATAGCCAGCAACAATAAAGGGAGTATTTTGTTATCAAATCTTTATACAATTATCAGAGATATTCCCAAAGGTATAAAGACAATGTTTTTTACAATAGCAAATATTGAAAACAATCCTAAAGTGCCAAGTATCAAGCAATTGAATAAGTAAATTATAGACCTTCTAATGAAAGA